ATATACAAACATATACAAACATATATATACAAACATATATATACACATATATATAACACATATATATATATACATAAATTTATATGTATATAAAAATAATATATATATTTTACGTATATATATAATATAAAGTAATATGTATATATAAATTTTGTACATATATACATACTTTAATTTATATATATATATACACATACATTTAATCTTTTTGGTTTAATACGAAGATAAACTCACTTTCAATGTGTTTCTTACATAAACTATCAGAAATATGAATTTAATTAATTTTTTCCGATAAAGAGTTATTAGAAACCTTTACTTATAATCACTGTGGAAAATGTTATATAAAAATATATGTAAAATATAAATACTTTCAATATAAAGTGTTACATAAACATTAAATATTAATAAAGTAGAGATTTCAATACTTTAAGAATAAACACATTTTGTTGATACTTAAGACTAAATTTAATAATCAACACTACATTAAAAGATTAAATGTACATTGTGAGTGCATGCACTAGAATGAAACGCATATTACAATAAAAAGCGATGATTGCGCTTGCGCGGCTATCTATCGACTTTCCCTATGCGAATGTTTTTCCATAGGATATAAACATCTATTAAATTTCTCTCAATTAAATCGATCGTTTAATCACGTTTTTCTTATAAAAAAGTGATGAATTCTAAGTATTTTAAGCTCGTGACATTATTGCATTTCGCTTTACGTATTAAGCAATTGAAGTTACAATTTACAAAAAGAGAAAAATAGAAACAATTGCAACCAACTGTTAGATTAATAGAATCGGAAAAAAAGAATAGGTAATACCAAATTTTTCACGGTTAAATGTACTTCAGTGTTTACAAAGATGATATTCATTGAGAAACATTTCAGGTTGAATAGACTTCTGTTGCTCACGATAGGTATATGGCCTCACCAGAGATCGAAACGTGCTCAAATTCAATTTATCGTACTTTTTACAATTTTAACAACTTTTATTGTATTTCAGGTAGTAATAAGTCATTTTTCATGCCAAACAATAATTAACAGAATTCAAAACTTATTAATCACATTATGGAATTACTCTTTTATTATGAAATTTTTAACAGAATTATTTATTTGCAGTTTACAACGTTTTTAACTTCAAAATGCACTGCAGATCTCATTATCAATGTTCTGTCTTCCGCATTTTCCTTTATTTGCTATGCGATTAAATATCATTCGTTTTGGATTAATGCCAATACTGTAAGTCAAATATTTATTATGCAGTTTCCAGACAAATATTCGTGATAAATAAATCTTCAAATTTGACATTTTTTAAATATTTTATACGAAAACTGCATACAATATTATTGATATAATAGATCAGAGTTTCATTAGATCAACTTCAGCATGTTTGTAACGAAATAAAAAATAAAAACGAAATTGCTATCATAGAAAAGTACGGTCGTATAGGAAAACATCAAACGAGAATAATTACGAGTAAGAT